GTATTTATCTATCAACCTAATACCTTTTTTAGGGTATGTACATGCTACCAATTTTCGCTTGTGAAAGACACCTAATTAATATTTTGATTGAATATTTTGAAAATATTTTAATTTTTCAATATTAACATTTCCTATACATAACCTCTTGTTATTATTTTAAAATCTTCATCTTCAGTATTGAACATTTTCCGAATTATTTTTTTAAGTTCAAAATTCAACAAATTTTAAAATTTTCCAAAAATGTTTAGTGGTTGAAAAAACTTCCAGAAAACCCCACATAATAGTGAGAATTCCCCAATATCTTTTCTTTGCCTAACTCCCTTTCTGGCGGAGCTTCTTGCTTCCGTTTCTAAGTAACTTTTGCTTATTGCATTTCGGTTTTTGGTGCCGGGATAGTACGGGATAGTAAAAAATCAAATTTGTTATAAATTTAGTAATTTTTCATTATTTCCATTTTCATATTTTAACATTTTCGCTGCTGTTTGTGTTTGTGTTTGTTATCTGTGCGCTTCCGGGTGAAAGCATTTCTTAACATTCAACACAAGTTACACAGCACAAAAACGAAGAAATAAATTAAAAAGGAAATGTTAAGCAAAAGTACAAAGTAAACCGAGAAAGTTAAAAACGCGCTCCATGGCAATGCCGTACTCATCAATGGATAAAGTGACCGAATTGCTGCTTCCTCGTTGGCTGGTTACTAACTGGGTGCTACGTAAAGGAACGCGGTCCAAATAAATGCAACTAACATAATCAGTATCAAATCAAACAACAACAAAAAATAACAACAAAATGGGCAAGAAAACTCCAAAAGATATATGAGCCAAGTCAACTGGTTCTTCTGGTTGTTGCACTGGCCAAATGCAATTGGCACCAAAACATATTCCTTTACTTATTGTCGCATTTTTGTACTATATATTCATTCCTTTGATATGGTAACACAGATTTTATTAAGTAAAGTTACACTTAGAAAAATATTTAAACTGCATTTTTGAAGAAAATAATGGAAATAATTTTATTTACTTCTTTGAGGGTTATATATGTAGAAAGTGGAAAGTAGAGAGCAGCGGTAAATACTCTTACCACTAATATTTTGTTTTAGAGGAGTACGGCACGCCCCTTCCACCGGTCTGGTTTTGGAAAATTGCGCTACTCGCACATACAAACGCAATGTGCCCTTTGAAGAATAATTGAAATTGTTTGCACAATTTTACACTCCAAAGACTAATGGAGTAGTTCCACTCCAAGAAGAAAACTGAAGAACTCAAAAGTAGAAATTGTAGAGGAAAAACATCTGCATTAGCGTAAAATAAGAAAATATTTAAAAAAAAAAAACAACTTCAGCACCAGCACATTTTCGCAAATATATTTTCATTTTCTTTTTTGAAATTTTCTTTTTTTTTGAAATTTTTTCTTGTCTTTATATTTTCCAATTGAATTATGTCAAGTTTTCCGTTTCAGTAACAATCTGTTTTCAAGCTAAATTAAATGAACATAATTGGGTTAAGTTCATGAAGAAATGAAAAAAGGACCAAGAAGAAAACTTAATCGTTGCTTTTAATATATAGGAAAACTTATCCTTTTTTTGTTAGCACGAGTAATTAAACTGTCGATGGATAAGAAATTTGCATTTTGCGGTGGTCTAAGGAGATACGCTTTGTCCGTTTGAAGATATGCAAAAAGTTTCCACCACAACTTAAACATTAAGGAAGAGAAAAATAAAAGAGTTCTTTTACATTTTCACTATTAGTTATTTAAAGGACTATTTAATATGTGTTTCAGATCCTCTGAGAAATATTTTCAGAATGAGTTTAGGGAATAGTCTGAAGTACATAACGACATAAATTAAATTTTTTGACGAAGTATTGTCAAAAAATCGTTTCAGTGTACAAGCAGCCAAAAACGAAGAATTATCTTCCTATCATTTTAGATTCCTTTGTTTGAGTATATCTTTTGAGAAGATGCACTCAATATTCCTTATTAGCAGTTTAGCATAAAATACATAACGCACCACATCATGATAATTAAAGAAGAAGATTAACATGACCATAATTTTTGAATGACTTTGATGTGATCTTAACAATCTTGACTCAACTTTTTCACGTTTGTCGATTTTCTCCAAATTAAGTACATAAATTCAAATCTCATCTCCAGTTAAGTATTTTATTTTATTCTGATAAGCAAAAATCATTGTGTGACACTATTTTTCTGAAAAAGTGAATATGTTTGGTACCCAACCAGATTTCACTCCTGCAGATACAAAACCTCTTTTAAAATGTTTTGGACTAAGCCAAATTTTTGAGCACCAAATTTTTGATTTTCTAGGCGTGTTATGCAGTATTAAGGTTGCTCAATCTTCTTCCTCTGCAATTTTCTACCTCTGTCATCAATATTTAGAAGATGCACAATCCACACACCTTTAGTACGGTCTCAATTATAATATCTGATGTCGTAAGATTTAATAGCAATTTAATACTTGGATCTCAGATGCTAGTATCTGTTTTACTAAAACCTGTGCAATAGTTCGGTTAGAAGATTTTCAAATCTACAATAGCCTAAAGGGAAAATGATAATTTTTATTTGCTCTTTGACAGAGTGTAACAACAAACTACGGTATATAACTATAAAGTTAAGAGACACTTGATTTCAATATAAAATTCAAATAAAAACTGTTAAATAAAATAACGCATAAATGTATATGCTAGTATATATATATAAATTCGTCACCAAAACACCAAAAATGACGTCAGCTTAGAGATTCAACGAAGAATCACTCTTGCCAACAGATGTTACTTCGGGCTTAAGTAGGCAATCGAGAAATAAAGCCCTCTCTCGAAAAACAAAAATCACGCTCTACAAATCTCTTATTATGCCTGTCCTGCTGTATGGTGCAAAAGCCTGGACAATTAGAGAGAAAAATTCTTCGGAAGATCTATGGTCCCTTACGCGTTGGCGACGAGTATCAAATTATATGAAACTATGAGCTGTATGAGGTATACCGCGACATTGACATAGTTATGCTCATAAAAATTCAGCGACTTCGCTGGCTTGGTCATGTTGTGCGAATGGAAGAAAGTGCTCCGGCTAGAAAGGTGTTTGAATCGGAACCCACAAAGGAAAAACACGGTAGAGGATATCCGCATCTTTGGATATCCTTCGTCTTCGCTTTATTAAT